GAGCTGGGCAAGGGCTTTCATGGAGCTGCACCCCCAGCCCAGAGTCTGTCTGCCTAAGGAGAGGAAAAAAGTCGTTTTTAAATATTCCGGGGGCCTTCCTGGGAGCTCCCAGGGTTAAGGCAAAAAGAGCTTAGTTTAGGATTTGATGTGCGGAGCTGTGGAACACATGGAAGGCTTCAAGACACTTGGCTAAATAGGGTCACAGTTCACTGTAAGCCACACAAAATGGCCACAGATTTTAAAGGCAAATAAGAAAGTCACATGAGTGTACAAAAAAGCTGAGCTCTCTTACTGTTGAAAAGAGTCACTTTTCTTAAAAGATGAAAGACCTAATATAAGACAACATGAAGTGTGAGAAATTGATAAAACACACAATGTTTGTTTCCAAGGCCAGTTGCTTAAAAGGTAAAGAAAAAATTCATATTCAAGATCAGATCAGTACTACAGGAAAACTCTGCCCTTTCAAGAGACAGGAAACCCAACTCAAACTTCACATCAGTATGTTATTGGGCTTATGTCTAAAAGCATAAATAAAATCTATTTAATTTTAAGACTTTGACCACACGTAAAATTCCTTTCTATTTCTGCTCAGATTTTATCTTCCTTGTCGGCCTCCTCCTCCTCCTCCTTCTCTTCCTCTGGAATAATCAGCAACTTTGCTTTACAACAAAATTTCTTTTTCACATACCTCGTATACATTGCTTAATTAAAAACACACCCCACTTCTATGTACAGTGACCCTTATCCATGGCTTAGCTTTGCCCTGTTTCAGTCACCCATACTCAACCATTAGTTGGAAATTTCCAGGAAAAAAAAAATCACAGTTTTAAACTGCACATAAAGTTCTGGGTAAGGTAAAGACGTCCCTGCGGTCCCAGCCCAGCCCATCCAGGATGTGAATCATGTCTTTGTCCTACGGATCCAGGCGTGGACTACAGGCTCCTCCACTGCAGCCACCCAGTCACCAGATGGACTGCGCAGCGCTGGGTCGGGGAGCGACAGGCCATGCCCCCTTACCTTCTAGGACAGCACGTGGTCACAGCCATTCCACTGACTACCAAACTTCACCCTAGTGTGCACAGGAAAACAGCACGCACACTCACGCACACGCACGCACACACACACGTACATGCAAGCATGCAGACACAGGTGCACACACACACACAGACACACCCATGCGCACACACAGACACACACAGAGACACACGTGCATGCAGCCACAGACACACGTGCACATAACCCCAGATAATGTCATATGTATACAGTGCCATATGTGTTCATGGAGTCACCGTGGTTTGGGACATCCATGGGGGGTCTTAGGACACCCGCTGAAAGGGGATTACTGAATGGTTATTTCCTTTCATTCCTATTACTTTAAATAGTTTTCATTATATACATCAATTAAAATTTTCAACCCCCAGTAACCTTAATATCCAGTGAAAACTAGGAAATACTCAACTTCATAGCTTTTAAATAACAGGGGCTTCCCTGCGGCACAGGACGCGCTTGGCTGGGAACCAAGATCACTGGTCCCTCTTTAATAAGACATTTGGAAGACGTCAACTTCTAAAAGGACAGAGGGTTTGAGCACACAGGTTCCCAGAGACGATATAAGAAGGGGCAAGTGTTTGGGTTGCCTCTGATGGATGAGCTTAAGCTCTGCTGTTCTTTAGTACAAGAATTCACAAAAAATAGCTCAGCTTGGCTTATGTGTGCACATCAAGCAAGGTGGAGTCCCCTCCCAGAGCCGGCTGGCTGTGTCTGCCCGGGTCCTCCAGGCCTCTCTCCAGCATTCCCACGGCCTGCACGGCCACAGCCTGTGGTCCCAACCCTGCGGTGCTGCGGCGAGAGCCCACCCCCCTGGGTAACTCATGAGGCCAGGAAGCCCAAGACCCAGGCGCTGGCCAGTGGGGTGCCTAGTGAGGGGGCCTTAAAGGCTTCTCCGGAGGAGGACATTGTGTCTTAGGTGACCACACTCCCTCTCCAGGGAGGCACGGGCCTTCTCTGGGCCGCACACCCTCCACTGTTGCGCTGTGGACTGAGTTTCTACATGAGTTTTGGAGGGACACCATCGTCCACACCATAGCTAGGCCTCAGTGGCAATCTGACTTTGCAGTGACATGGTTTCTGTTTGCTATGAAAGTGTCAGTTTATCTGCAGTGGGTCCGAAACCAACCACACCACCTGGCCTCTCCCTCACCCTGGGTAAGCTCCCTGCAGGGGCCCTCAGAGGTCCGGCACAGGCCCCTCCCAAGGGATGGAAGGCCCCAGACAACCCCACCCCCTGGCAGCAGGGTGGGCAGAAATGCAGGACGACTGGTTGCAACTGAGTCCTGGGGGAATCCTCTTCCCAGGACATGGGCCGGTGGAGCCTGTGGATAGTTCTGTGGTCCTCCAGTAGAGACGGACCTGGCCTCTCCAGCTCTCCAAGGCCTTGCTCATTCCTCAGGTTCTGTGCGTCAGACTTCCGGCTCTGCGGGCCCTCGGGCACACTGCAGGCAGGTCCTAGGCTTCTATGCCTGGGTCCCCCCAAAAAGCTCAACGACAGCTTTGGGAACAGGGAAGCTGCGTGTGGGGCGCGGTCTCCCTTCCCCCCCTGTAGCTCTGCTCTTCAGTGCTGCGCCCTCCAGAGGGGAGCAAAGGCTGGGGACATGGCCAGGGGAGCCAGGCTGCTGGCGGGCGGCACATGCAGTACCACTTCACACCTTACCCCCACCCTGTCTCTTACAGGCAAACTCACATAATAAGATCAACCTCTTGAAGGCCATCTGCAGACCATCTTGGGAAACATGATGGTTCCATCCTCTGTCCTTTCTAGAATCAACTTTTTTCTTTCTGTTGAGAAAGCTCTTTATATATTCTGAAAACTAGACCCTTTCAGAGATGATTTGCAAGTTCTCTCGCATTCGGTGGGCACCTGTGCCCCTCTTCGGCTCCACGCCTCAGTGCGAGGGGTTCAGGTTTGAAGGGTCATTGGTCACTCGCACTTTGATGTCATAACCAAGAATCCTTTGCTGAATCCAGGTCGTGACAACTGCCCCGTGGTTTTCTCCAATGATCTTGGCCCCGTGAGGCTGACCCACTGGGGTCCAGCGTGGCGTCTGGTGTGAAGTCGGGGTCTACTCAGGTCCCACCCCTTGGCTCAAAACCGTCTCTCTCCCACTAAAGGGTCTTGGTACGCTGTCCTCTCAGCTGACCGCAGACATAGGTCTTTATGTCTGACTCTCCCATCAGTCTGCAGGTCTGTCTTCACGCCAGTGCCCTTGGTTTGGAAGACGGTAGCTTTGTGGTAAGATTTGAAATTGGGAAACGTGAGTGTTCCAACCTTGTTTCTCTTTTTTTAAGATCATGCAGCTATTCAGGGAACAACCTGTGCCCCTCAGGGTGCCCTCCACCTGCCCAGGAACCTCAAGATCCCAGAAGTGAGGTCCAAAGGTGGGCCTCCAGGGACCAGGCCCACCTGCAGCCCCTGCCACCCTCCCTGGCCGCAGCCCCATCTTGGCCTTGGGGGTCTCACTCTGGTGTGAGGCCTTCAGAGAGAGTGAGGCTCTCTGTCCCCTCTGACAACAGCTTTTCCAGACAGTCTTGAAGGGCAGGAGCCAAGGGCCAGCCGGCAGGGAGGCCCCCACCTCCTGTGCCTGCCTGACCGTGTGCTAGCCACCCTGAGGCTGCACTGCAGGCTGGGCAGCAGGGCAGAGCCCCTGGGCCAGGCCACTGCCACAGGCTGTGGTCAGCAGACTCTGTCCTTGCCCGGTTCCTCGGCTGTGTCTTGCTCCGGACCTGCTCCTCTGACCTACTCCTGGCCTGAAGCTGCCCGTAAACAATGGCAAAGGCCAGGCCTCCCTTCACCTCTGGTCCCACTGTGCTGCAGGATGGGATGAGACCAACTGCCCCTTCCCTCCCAGTGACCAGGCAGCCTGTTCCTGTCCCTGGAGAAGGCTTCATGCCTTCCTTCCTCAGGCCTCAGTGGCTCCCCTTCCCCTCGGGGCTGTGGCCTGAGAACTGCAGAGTCCTGGTTCAGGCCAAGCGGGTGCCACGGCTCACAGGGAGGCATGGAGAGCCCAGCCTCCCTCCAGGGGCCACAGCCTGCCAGGGCCTCCCTCCTGGGGACTCAGCCTCCTGCTCCCTGGGCCCTGGCAGCATCCACCCTCAGGAAAAGGCTCTGTCCAGTGAGCCCCCACCCAGGCCAGTGTCACACAGCACAGCTGGTCGGGCCAGCCTGGGCCCAATGTGAACCTGGTCCGCCTCAGCCAGGTGGGCAGTGGCCCTTCCAGCCTGTGGGCTGCCACCAAGGCCTCAGCTCTCCCACTACCAGGCCTAAGCTCCCAAACTCAGAGAAGGGGCAGGTGCCCACTTTTGTTCTCTGCTCCCCTGTGGCTGACAGGGGAATCCCTGCCTGGCCCCCACCCTGGCTCCAGCTCTGCTCCTCCTGCAGTGGCCTTTCTTGGGGAAGACCCCGGCAATGCCAGCCCAGCACCCCTTTGCAACTTCAGCAGGAGTAGCACCATCCAGTACAGCCACAAGGAGGGGCTCTCCTTCCCCCAGCACTCAGGGCAGTGTGTGGTCTTTGTCCAGTGGCCACCTGCCATGCATTTTGGCATCTTGGTGCATGAGGTGAATGGCGTGCACCCCCTGCAGGAGCTCTGATGACACAGGGCAAGAGAGCGGGGTAGAGGGAGGTGGCAACACAGTCCAGCTCACTGGACTCTGGTCTTGTGGGGTGGCGTCACCTCTAGCAGGCACAGGAAGCACACAGAGAACCGGGAGCCCATCAATGCAAACCTGAACTGCAAAACTGGAGATGACAGACAGAGGGCTCCCAGAGCCAGCCGCAGCCGGTTCCACGGGCTGAAAACTAGAATCCAGGCTCCCACGGGCCTCGTGCTGGACCCTATCCTGGGGTTGGGGGGGTGGGCAGGTGGGCTAGTGCCCCAACAGCACTTGTCCTTCATGTCCAGCACTTCAAAGGGGGGGTCCTTTCACTTAGAGCACAGCAGAGGACATTTTCAATTGGTCTTGTTCTGGAAATTGCTCCCTGTTTGGGGGACAGAGTAAACCCTGAGGCCAGGCCTGCTGACAGGCTTGCCCATCCCACCAAGGGCCCAGGAAGACCTTCAGGCCCCTCAAGGTCAGGAGCCCTGTCTGCACAAACCCTAGGACTCCAAACTTGCGGAGCCGGAAGCAGCCGCAGGTCATCCTTATCTGAGGGAAAGGTGTAGGCAGAGGCTGGAAGGGGAGTCAGGCAGGGGAAGGGTCCTCTCCACCTGGGCAGGCTTCTCACATGCAGGTCAGGGATCCTGCCTCATCCACAGGCAGGTCCTTGCTGGCTTGGACGGAAGTTGGTTAGAAAGATCATCCAGGTCACATGGATCGCAGAAGAAAAAGACCGGAGCCGGCAAAAGTCCAGGCGGAAAGAGGGGGACAGAGGGCCAGCAGAAGCTCCTAGGAAGAAGAGCAGACCGCTGAGCGGGTCTCTCGGTGTCCGTGGGGGCAGCCTACCCGTCTGTGCTGGGAAGTCGTGTGCAGAGTTCAGCCCAACACTCAGGCTTCCTCTTCCTCCCCAGGACATGGCCCAGGGCCAGAACCAGGGGGCAGAAAAACAGCCCAGGGATGCTGCGCCCAGCTGGCATGGCTGTGTGGGGTCAGCTCCTGTTGCCAGGGTGCTCAGACCAGAGAGACAGGCGTCAGGCCCAGAGAGGACAAAGGCGGCCCGTGTGGGTGGCCCAGCCCTCTCTGAGCCGACCTTCCCTGAAGACTGGCCCAGACTTCAGCTGATCAAAGGGTCTCAGGACTCAGCAGAGCAGAGCGGCTGCCAAAGCACTCTGCCTTGGAGTTGAGTGCCCTGGGGCAAGGGTTTGGAGGGGGGCGCAGGACCACCCTCGAGAAGAGTGGCCTCCATGTTCTGTGTCCTGAGAACCCTGGGGCATCCCACGCCCACTCATCAGTGCGCCCCAGAGTTTAGACTTCAAACCCAGCTTCTCTGAACTGGGGGCCTGGCCCAGGACTGGGACATTTCAGAGACCTACTAAGCGTTCCAGCTGGCAGGGACCAGTCTCCACTTCCCAGAATCCACACAGGAGCCACCCTGAGGAGCTGTGTTGGGCTGAGGTCCCTTGGAGGGACCACAGATGGCCTATCACTGTGTTTCCCAAGCGTGAAAAGGAGGTGGAGAGGGCCCCGGCACCTGGAGGCTGTGTCCTCAGTGGCCAGCAAAGACCCCTGGGCAGCTTCTCCTCCTGTTACCAAGCCCTGCAGACCTGCTCAGGGCCTCCTTCCTTCCAGCAAGGATCCCAATCATCCTTTGCAGAAAGATTTCTGGTATGGAGGTCCCAGCCTGCTCCCCTGCTGCCCAGGGGCACTGGGCTGTTCCTGGGAGCCACTTCCTCTCCACTGGACACACCTTCCCTCAGGCTGCTGCCCCAGGGGCCGCCGGCTCTTTAAGTGTGGGACCTGTCTTCTGCAGTCCCCCAAGACACCACCTCCTGCGTGCCCAGCTGGTCAGTGCCATGACCTCACCACACCTCATGCCCTCTGACCCCAGCTGCCTAGATGTACTGCTCCCACCCCCGTGCACTCCACTGCCACCAGGACTGACCTTTACAACAGGACATCCTGCAGTGACGTCATGAACATGCTGGAGAAGCAAGACTTCTCTGGTCTCTGGGAGTGGGCTTCCCAGAAGTGGATCCAGAGCCGGTCACAGAGGCACCAGGGACCACATCTCTCTGAGCTCAGCACCTCTCTTTGATCTTCCTGGAAGATGGGGACATGAAGCTGAAGGCCAGCCCACCCTGTGGCTGGGACTGTTTCTCCTCTCCGGGGCCAGCCCTGGCCCTGCCTGGCACTCCCTCACGGGTTAAGGCTAAGCACCATGAGGATGCCAAGGAGACCAAAGGGAGAAAACAGCAACAGCCCTGACCCTCAGCCAGGGAGGGAAGGCAGCTGGGGTCCTGTGCCAGCCTCACATGTGGCCCTGGGGTCTCCTCACCCAGGGCCATTCTCCAAGAGGCCTGTGCTCCTCTTACGCCTGTTCCCCCTGATGGAATGGGCACAGAATGAGCAGTGCTTTCTAGAAAGTCTGGGGAAAGTCTGGGGGCCAGTCCTGAGACCCACGGGTGGAAGGCGCCAACCTGGCAGGTGGAGCTAAGGATGTTCTAGGGGAGGG